ACAGAAATTTGACCTGAAGCGCTGATAAATTCTCTGTGTAGAACTTATCGACGGGTTCTTTAAGGAATTGGGATAGAAAATTGGAGTAGAGTCTTTCAGAATATTGCTGCAAAACCTTGTCCAAGCCAGTGCCAACAGGGAATTTCTCTCATTTCCCCCTACCAGGATTACAGTCGACAATGGTTCTGTAGGAGCTGATGTAAACCAAGCCGGTGCCAAGGCACCGACTGGTCTCAACGTGGCTCTGTGGAATGTTATATTTACAAACTTTTTATTTATAAATTACACTATATCTGACCGGTCATGCTTTAATCAAGAAGAGTATATAACTGGTCATACTTAGTGTAATTTGTAAAAAAAATTATAAACGGATTATTCTCATATATATATATATATATATATATATATATATATATATATATATAAAGTGAAAAGGTTTACATCAATAAATAATGGGAAAATATTTTTCATGTTGTAGGAGAATTGTTTTCTTCTGTTAGTGACCCTTCCATTTTCGTGCAATATTTGTTTTTAATAGATATGAGTTCCACATAAAATGTATCTATAACATAAGAAAATTTTCTCCTACTACATGAAAAAATCGAAACCTATAAATATAAATTCTACCTTAAGGCGAGGGAACACACTTCAAAATCAAATATGAAAGAATACATGCTTCGTGTAAGTACTATAACAGCCAATAAAAAACAAAAGTAAATAGCATGTCAAAATTGCATACTAACAAAACTCTGTGTGTTGGATATCCTTTTTTTTTTACAAATGAATTGAATTTAACCATTGGTAGGAGGAATGATGCAAATATGTGATCAATCTCCTAAAATGGGAAGCTCAATTCTGTGTTATCGATGTTGAAATAAATCCAGAATGTGTGAGGCCATGTTGAATGATTTGGAAGATACACAACTACCAACTTAAAAAATCAGCTTATAAACCCTTCAAGTTAAGAATTACTCGCCGTACTAAAAAAAAAAAAATTACTCGCCCATCGAATTAGATTTTTCGCGTTGAATGTCAAAGCCTATTTGACACTTTATCTTTGCTTAAGGGGGTGTTTGGTATATGAGATATTATTTTTATCATGAACAAAAATTTGTCAGGAACATGATGAGAAAAATTTGTTGACTGGTAAGTTAAGAAAATGTGTTTGGTAGGATAAACTTTTTCCGGAAAAATTGAGTTAAATTTACTGATATTATGTTTGGTTGATAGTAAAAAAATGATGAAACTTTTAACCAAAATTACGAAACTACCCATGAAAATAATTGAAGTTTGGATAGGACTGAATAAAGTAGGGGTATTTTGATCTTTAAAATTTTTCATCAAGTTCCCCGTGGTGGGTAATTTTATTTACCATGTTCTCAGAAGTCATCTTCATGTGGCAAATTATGTGGAAAAAAAATTGATGGATTAAAAAGTTTCCAACTCTTGTTTTAACAAACACTCCTACCAAACATGGGTAGCCTTTTTACCCAACCTCACTCTTCAAGGCAATTTTTTTTTTCATCCTATCAAATACCCCCTAAAAGCTAAAAATAGTGATAATACCCCAAAAAATAAAGATGAAACTGTTTGGTAATTACCCGACTTTTAAAGCTTAAAAGCTGTTTTATATCTCAAGTTAGAAATAAATTGTTTGGTAAAATAATTTGTATAAAATCTAATTTTAATTAAAGTTACCATATAGGATGATAACAACAAACCTTTATATTACTAAGGAAACTTCACATATATAAAGACAAATATCTTCTAAAAAACAAAAGACAAATTATCACATAAGTGATAAGTACTTATTATCAAAATATTTACAAAAATAAATAAATAAATATTTATATTATTTGTTACTTTCCTATGACGATACGTACCCATTTCTTTTCGTTAATATTACATTCTTCTTGATACTTAAGAATATAATAAAGATTATACCACACTTGTCAAACTCTCCGTCTTCAGCATTATACTTTCGAATAGAGTTATGAAGTGCTATTGTTGAAACAATGATATTTTCTTGCTTTATCAATGAAAATTACATCATATCACATGAGATTATGGGTGACAATTCATGTCAACAGGTTGGGTTTGTGTTGGGTCGAGATTAAGCAATTACACAAATGTGAACACAAGTATTTGATATAAGAGATATTTTTTTCTTACTAGGAACAGAAATTTGTCAAGAACATGGTGAAAAAAATTTGTTGACTGATAAGTTAAGAAAATGTGTTTGGTAAGATAAAATTTTTTTGAAAAAATTTAATTAAATTTATTGATGTTATGTTTAGTTGATAGTAAAAAATAATAAAAATATTAACCAAAGTACGAAACTATCCATGAAATAAATTGAAGTTTGGATACGACTGAATAAAGTAGGGATGTTTTGGTCTTTAAATTTTTTTATCAGGTTCCCCATGGTGGGTAGTTTTATTTACCATATTCTCATAGGTCAACTTCATGTAACAAATGATGTGGAAAAAAATTTAATGAACCCCTGTTTTAACAAATCCTCCTACCAAACATGAGTAACCTTTTTACCCAACCCCACTTTCCAAGGTAATTTTTTTTTTTCATTCTACCAAACACCCCCGAATTCAAATATGATACAAGTAAAAATTTGTGTCATGACTTTCGATGTGAAGACGATTAGTTTTGTGAATTGACAAAATATGATACTCGGGAATTGACAAAATATGATACAACATAAATAACTCGTAATCTTATAGTGTCCTACTTATTACATATATTGACGCGACATAGTATAATATAATAACTTAAAAGAAAATTAATGTAGATTAATGTTATGAGTGTGCATTGACACATAACGTAATTAACTTTTTAATATTTTTTCTACACGAAAATATGGGTCAAATTGAACACAAAAACTTCATATGTCAACCGGTCATGTAGTAAATGCCACCCTACGTATGATATGGCCAATATTATTACTAAGGGTTTTATTACTATAATGTTACATGATATAAGAATATTTTCCTACCTTTTCAATAAAGAAGAGAGAGAAAGTGGAATGATGAAAGAGAAAAAAAAAACATGTGAACCCCACCTCTTAATTGTGTGTGTAGGAAAATTTTCTTGGGTTATGTAATATGATAGTAATAAAACCCTATTACAAATTATAATTGTTCTCTTAACGACCCTTATTTATTCCTCTCTTTTTTTTTTTTTTGATAACAATTCCTCTCTTTTCCAGTAGAAAGAAGTGTATAAAATATTTTTTTATGAATTATATAGTAGTAGTAGGCGTGTGAATCCTATTTTATGAAAAAAATACTTTTTCATTAAAGAAAACTACATAAAAATATGAGAAATGATCCGTTTATAAATTTTTTGTACAATTTTACAAATTACACTATCTTCTCCCGAAAGAAGATGGGAGAAGATAGTGTAACTAGTGTTCTCCCGAAAGAAAATAATGTAGTTTGTAAACAAAAAAAGTTTGTAAATATAACCTACCTCTAAAAACATATATATTTTGGGAAAAATATTTCTCTAATCACCGGAGGTTAGGGGTGTAAATGGGCTGGGCTGGGTTTTGGTCTTTTTGGCCTAAGCCTACGTCAAAAAAAAATTCAGCCTATCTGGCCTACTGGCCTATTAAAGGCTTTATTTGTAGGCTAAATCCGACCCATTTTTAATAATAAGAAAGTCTGACATGGCCTACAGGCCTTGTAGGCCTCCGACTATAGATACTAAGCAAAAAAAATAATTGTATAGAGCAAAGAAAGTTCCATTCATGCATGCACTAGTACTTCTCATAATAAAAAAATGACAAACAAGAAAGAGTCAACATAATACCCCAGCTCTAGAATGTATATCATAAATGAATAGAGTCAAAGAAATGGAGAAAATAAGAAAAATACAATTATCGGAAGCTGAAATAAAGTCTACAAGAGAATGTCATTTATCTAAAAATCTTTAAACCACCATCAAGACAAGAGAAATAAGAGTATTATTGAAAGATCTTCATCAGTAACATCATAATCCAGCAAGGTACCCATTACTCCTTGGTATTAAGCTGCAACAGCATATAAAATTTGGAGACATTAGACAAGTTTTCCTTTCATAAAATAAAATAGCACAAAAAGTAAGAGATATTGGTATTTGGTACTTTGCGTCTTTACCACATAAAATAAATATTATTTTATTATTTTATTTTAATAAATTAAATAAGCCAGCCTACAAGGCTGTAGGCCGGACTTGACAAAATTGGTCTATGGCCTATTTGTTAAAAAAGCTTTTTTATAAGCCTAAGCCTACTCTACTTTTCTGAAAAGCCGGGCCTGAGCCGGGCTCAATGTAGGCTGGGCTGTGCCAGCCTGACCCATTTACACTCCTACGTCGGTACAATTATCTCTAGTGAACTCAAAACGATGTCGTATTGGGTTATAAAATTAAATTTTTTTAATGATAAAGACTAATATAACTCCATAATATATTATAATTAAAAAAATACATTAATTTCCGTCCTAAAACGATGTCATTTTAAGTTTACTAGAGATAACTTTTCTCCCTTGATTTAAAAAATTATTTACCCATATATTTTATCTATTATTTTCGTTCCTATATGGCCGATTACCAAACATTCAAGTGGAAGTCTTTGGGACTCGTCCGTTAATTTTACAGTTTTTGAAGCCCAAAACCGTCAAAAGGAAACAAAGAACTGAGAAGTGGATAACGCTCCCGAGGCAGTCAGAGACATGCCCCACGATCAAAGCGTGCGTTTCGGTCACCGAGTTTACTATCTCAAAATACCAACCCATCCAATTCAAACCCTGATTTAATCTCACCCGTTCGTGTAATCACATCACCTGAAATAGACGATGGATACGAGGAGACCGTTCGCACTGTACGTGAGCGCACTGGAGGAAATAACCACTACAGTTCATGAATTGTTGCGAGACATGACATCACGGTTTTTAAAGAGTCAGAAGATAAAAAGCTTTGACACATAAAAACCCCAACTACTCATTTTGAAAACTTCCCAAACGCATTTAGCTCATTTAGTTTGTGTTGAGTGTTCTCTCTCTTCTCTAGGTTTTGGGGGATTTAGGGTTCTGTTTGTTTGGTCTCTGCCACTGTTTTTCACTTATCTGGTACGACAATGTTCTCTTTATCCTTAACCAGTAAATTTTTCTATTTTTATGTGATAGTGAAATTGCTTATTTTTTTTTTATTGTTTTGCTTTGGGTCTATGTGATGATGTAACGCTGCATTGTTGTTCTGAGATGTGATTTTATTTTTAAATTATTTATTATTTATTTTTTTTGAAAATGAGTCACCTTCGCCTAAGCTTCGTTGTTCTTTTAAGGGGAATTTTTGTTTTTACTGAAGTTGAAATTTTAAAATGCTACTTTATCCTGCGTTTCTGAGGTTGTTTTAGGCGCTGCATGTATCTTTGAGTTCGATCTAACTTTTTTGGCTTTTTATTTTGAAGGAAAAAGGTCTCTACTTTGTCTCCAAACTACAGTTTATTTCTTAAATGGAGCTTCTTTGTTTGTAATTTTGGGTTTTTGTTTACTGTTTTGAGTTACTCTTTTTACGGAATAGTTTTTTTTTTTTCCGTAAGTGGAAAGCTTTATTTTGTGCCTGGTCTGTATTGGTTCTTAAGCCTGTTTTTGGATATTTGTAGTAAAGGATTGCGTTTGACCTTATAGATTCTTGATTATATTTATTTTCTTATTTTCTATTTGGGTAGCTGTTACTGCATTTGAGTATGTTATTTGCTCTTATCTTGCTTTTTCTCGTCCCCTATGTCAGTAACATTACTGCATCTGAATTACATTTTTTTCAACTTAATCGTGCCTGTTTTTGAGTTCACATTACCTGCTTTTTGCTCCTTATTATTGTTATTTTTTGCTGAAACTAGTAATTAATTAATATATTTTTGCAGTTGTAAACAAATGAGCTGTTTTTCTTCTTTGTGTTTTGGTTTATGTCCTTTCAGGATATTCATGTTTACCCAAAGTAGTTACTTTTGCTCATAATTTGATTTGGTGAAGATGCTGTCTGAGAAATCCGCAATGATATTATGATTCTCAAGTGCATTCTTAGTGTTGCATGTATATCTGTGTTACTTTGTAACTGTATTTGCGCATTTAGTCTATTTAATTCTCCTTATTTTTGTGTGAAAACTTGTTATGGCAGTTTTATGATAATACTTACCTTTTTAAGGTTTTCTATTCCATTATGCTTGAAGTTCAGGTTCACATCACTTGCTGATTGGTTTTTTGGTGTCCTGATGATTTTCATTGTGGTTATTTTAGCTGTGTTGTTTTGCCCTTTCAATGCCTTTAAAATTTGCGTCCTCTTCAATATCCGTTGTCTTTAATGTTTACTCCCGTGTTACCTTGTATGCGTAGGATATGGATTTGTTTGAGCCAGATGGAAATGGGAAGGAGGAGTTGTTTGAGCCAGATGGAAATGGGAAGGAGGAGTTGTTTGAGCCAGATGGAAATGGGAAGGAGGAGTCTTTGCCACCACCGCCTCCCATTGTCCCCTCAGATGTTGTACCAGTCAAAGCAGAAGAGGTGCTCGCTGCCCCTGCTGAACCTGTCAAGAAAAAGGTTTCCCGTGTTCCAATAGCCAGACGAGGCTTGGGATCAAAAGGAACGAAGATATCTCTTCAAACCAATCACTTCAAAGTTAATGTCACTAACAATGATGGACATTTCTTCCATTATAGTGTATGTCCTTCTCGTATCTCTTTATTTAGCATTATATAAACCACTCTCATTGAACATTGACTTGTGAGGGAGGGTGGGGTGAGGACCTTCCCCTTGCATTTATTTATTTTATTTGCAAAGAGGCTGTTTTCTAGATTTGAACTTGTGATCTCTCAGCCGTAAAGAAGGAGCTTTACTATGCACCCAGCTCTTCCTCTTTTATTTGGCATTATATATTTGTGTTTATTTTTAGTCTACTCACTCAAACTGGACTTTTTCACTTGGTATGTGAACAGGTGTCTTTTTCTTATGAAGATGGACGTCCTGTAGAAGGTAAGGGGGTAGGGAGAAAAATAATGGACAGGGTGCAGGAGACATATGGTTCTGAATTAAATGGTAAGGACTTTGCTTACGATGGCGAGAAAAGTCTGTTTACAATTGGCTCTCTTCCTAGAAACAAGTTTGAGTTTGAAGTTGTTTTAGAGGATGTCACATCTAACAGGTAGAAATGACTATCATATGGTTGTCTTGTTGGCCATCCAATATAGTTTTCATATAATTTCAGCAGTATAACCTTTTAATATTATTGTTATTTTTTTCATAGAAATAATGGCAATTGTAGCCCTGATGGTCATGGCGACAATGAGAGTGACAAAAAGAGGATGCGGCGCCCATACCGTGCAAAGACATTTAAAGTAGAGATTAGCTTTGCCGCAAAAATTCCAATGCAAGCCATAGCCAATGCCTTACGTGGGCAGGAATCAGAGAATTTTCAAGAAGCCATTAGAGTGCTCGATATCATATTGAGGCAACATGCTGCTAAGCAGTAAGTAAATTTTGCTTCTTCTTCTTAGATTGTAATTACAATTTTAATATTTTCCTTTGTATATGTTTGTTGTATTATAATGCCTCAATATTTTAACTGTTCATTGTCTATTACAGAGGCTGTCTACTTGTACGTCAATCTTTCTTCCACAATAATCCGATGAATTTTGCTGATGTTGGAGGTGGTGTTCTGGGCTGTAGAGGATTCCATTCAAGTTTTAGAACTACACAGGGTGGCCTGTCCCTCAACATAGGTTAAATCTCTGTCCTGTATGCAATCTTCTTATGTCAACACTTTGTGTCTAATTCCTGCAATCTTCAATTTTGTTTAGATGTCTCAACTACCATGATTATTCAACCTGGGCCTGTGGTGGACTTCTTAATTGCCAATCAAAATGTGAGAGATCCCTTTCAACTTGACTGGGCAAAGGTAAGAAATTTTCTGGATAATTTTTTTATCACCCTTTATTGATCTTGTGATGCTAAAGTCTGATCTTTTATTTATTTTCTCAAACAGGCCAAAAGGGCACTCAAAAACCTGAGGATTAAAACCGGCCCATCGAATCAAGAGTACAGAATTACTGGACTCAGTGAACTCCCATGCAGAGAACAGACGTATTTATTTTCTCTCTTTTACTTTTTGTTAAAACCTTTTTGGCTGAGGAAGGGTTAATTATTTAACCTTGTGTATGTGCTGCATTGTAATTGTAGAGTTGTTTATTACATGATGAGTTCAGGTTTTTGATGTAGAAGGTGTGTATTTTGCAGTTTTACTCTGAAGAACAAAGGTGGAAGGGATGGTGATGATGGTGATGAGGAAGTGACTGTTTTTGATTATTTTATTAATGTTCGTAAGATGGATCTTCGCTATTCTGCTGATCTTCCATGTATCAATGTTGGCAAACCAAAACGGCCAACATATTTCCCCATTGAGGTGAATTAAAGGTTTTCTTTTTGTTTTCCATACTGCATTTTTTAGCAGTAATGGGGGTAAAGATTGATCTTTAACTATATAAGGTTATTAACTGTCCCTTCATTCTATTGGTTCTTTTAGCTTTGTGAATTGTTATCCTTGCAACGTTATACGAAAGCTCTGTCCATAAATCAAAGGACTTCACTAGTGGAGAGGTCCAGGCAGAAGCCACAAGAGAGGATGAAAGTTTTGTCTGAAGTAGGTTGTCTTGCTAAATTTCTGAGTGATATAATTTTAATCCACATGTTCGGATTAAGGGATCTTATTAGTCTTTTTGCTGAAGGCACTAAAAACCAGCAACTATGGTTCTGAACCTATGCTTCGTAATTGTGGAATTTCTATTAGCACTGGCTTTACTCAAGTGGAGGGTCGTGTTTTGCCTGCTCCAAAGGTATATATATATATATATACTTTGTCATTGTGCTCATTTTTGGTCGTGGTTTTACGTCTTCGCCTTTTGGCAAATGTTATAGCTATTTATTGTTTTTGCCGTTTCACTTAGGATGTTCTAGAAACTAATTGATGGACCTCCTTTTTTAGTAACCCTTGTCCAAAATATGATTTTTTGTGTTTTTTCTTAAATTAACAAGACCTCCTCGAGGTCTAAGTGCTAATTCACTTATTTGAGAAGTGACTTTGTTCCCTTTGATAATTATTGTGTTGATAGTTGTAATTTAAAATCATGGAATGTTCGTGCATGCCTAGCCCATGTTCTGTGCTATTTCCATCCTTACTATTAAGCAAATTCTCAACTATTTATTATAATTTGTCGGTCTTTCTAAGATTGAGTCTTAATGCCCATGTATGAAATAATTTAGCTAGAATTTTATGTCCATGTTGGCTAGCCCTTTTAGTGGGTTCTTGTTTATGCAAAATTGCTTGTAGAATAAACCAATCAATTCCTGCTACACTTCTTCCTGCAGGACCTATTCCCTTCATCCTTGCTACTCAGTACTTGTGCTGTTGAACTTCATAGAAATCTAGACATGTCATATCTTTGCTCTCTTTACGCCATATGTTATATTGTATGACAGTAATAATTTGATAAAGAAGAGTATTAAATTGATGGAAATGGAACATTTTAATTGTTTATTGCACTAAAGGGGTCTTATTTTGCTTGACTGTGAAGTTGAGGCAATGTACTCATTTTCCAATCATCATACGTCAGTATCGCTTGTATTATATTCTTTTGGTTTGAGACTGATTATTGAATCTTCTCCAATAGTTGAAGTTTGGCAATGGTGAGGATTTCAATCCAAGGAATGGAAGATGGAATTTTAACAATAAGGTATTTCATTCAATTCCCATGTCAGCTGAGTTTTTACATGGTCAACGCAATAACAACATCGAATCAGAGTCTAATAACTTGCATGCTTCTCCAGAAATTTGTGCAGCCAACAAAAGTACAACGATGGGCTGTGGCTAACTTTTCGGCACGCTGTGATGCACAAGGGCTTGTGAGGGATTTAATTAGAATTGGAGAAATGAAAGGAATTGTGAGTTCTATAACTGCATATTAATTGAAGTGTGATAGAACTACTGACTTAAAGATTTTGTTGTCTTTGACTTCTGCAGCTGATAGAACCCCCATTTGATGTGTTTGAAGAGAATGGTCAGTTTAGGCGTGCACCACCTATGGTTAGAGTGGATAAGATGTTTGAGACCATCGAGTCTAAACTTCCTGGAGCTCCTGAGTTCCTTCTCTGCTTGCTTCCTGATCGGAAAAATTGTGAAATTTATGGTTAGTGATTTGATATAATTGTATCTTGTGTTTATGCTTAAGAAATTGTCAAGTGCGTTGATGAAAATCAATTTTTGATATTGAAGGTCCATGGAAAAAGAAGAATCTTGCTGACTATGGAATTGTTAATCAGTGCATGTGTCCTACAAGGGTCAATGACAATTATTTGACTAATCTTTTGTTGAAGATCAATGCCAAGGTATATGATTATAGGTTGATATTTTGGTAATATTGTGCAGCAACTTTTTACATGTTCTTATTTATGTGAGGGCCATTTAAACATCTTATTTTTGTTGTATGATATCAATACAATAGATGAACACCTTCATATCCTTTCCATAATAGAACTGGTCCAAAAAGTAAAGAAATAATGAAGGGAAAAATAGGATTTTTGTTGTTGTTGTTGATATATATACCTTTCCTTGGATCATTGGAGAACTCAAGGTTAGGAAGAGAAATAAAGATTACAGAATTGATGTTTCTTCAGCATTCGAGAGTCTGATTTCTCTCACTCCCTCAGCTGTCACCTTTCAATACCCTCTTCTCTCCCTCTTTTAACTACTATAACAATATCAGTATTTGTATCTACTATTTTGATACATCTTTAATAAAGAAAGTTTATATAAGGAAGAATAAAAATAAAAATGAAAATACTAATAGAGAAACTGTCATTGGGGCTGAGAGTTAATGGCCAGCTGCCATTCGAGGATTGGTTGTTAGAATCATTCTGTAGTAGGGGGATCTTTTATTGTGGAGGGACGTGTGTTTGAGGGGATATGGTTTTAGATGATGGTTATTCAGCAAGGTACTGAGGGGGAGAAGGGTTCCTCTCTAATTTTCTCTATCTTGTAATTTGTTTCCCCAGATATCAATGCAGTTCTTCATTTTCCAGTTTATATGCTATATTTTCTGTCACTCTGGTTGTGCTGTTAGGTTCCTCATATATCTAACATCCGTATGTATTAGCTAACTCTATTGCCTTTGTCTAACGATATCAATTAATATCAACAAACTCTAATATATCTAACAATATGAATCATCTCTAACTACTATTACTAGCAGGGTTTGGCCCAACCAGATTATTGGGCCCGTCCTGATTTCTTTTCTCATTCACCTTCCTAATTGGGGAAGAGAAAGAAAAATTACGGAATTGCTGTTTCTCATCTATTTGAGAGCCTCATCTCTCCCACTCGCTCACGTAACTTTTTATTGTATCTAACAATATCAGTTAATATCAAATAACTCTATCTACTATATCTAATAAAATAATTATTATCAGGTAACTCTATTTTCTATATCTAACATTATCAATTAATATAAGGTAACTCTGATATAACAATATCAACTAATATGAGGTAACTCTATCTATATTTCTAGAAATATCAATTAGTTCTAACTACTATTACTAACAGTCCATGACCCAACTAGATCATTGAGTCCATTCTTATTGTTACATACACCTAACACTCACGTACTGGTATAAGGCTTGGTTGGATTTATAATTGATTTTTATTGCTTAGTTAATTTTTCATCGCACATATTTTTTCCTTTGAATTCATTTATTGTCTTGCAGCTTGGTGGGTTGAATTCATTGTTAGGCGTCGAGCATTCTCCTTCTCTTCCTGTTGTTTCCAAAGCTCCCACCCTTATTCTAGGCATGGATGTGTCTCATGGCTCGCCAGGCCAGTCTGATATTCCTTCAATTGCTGCGGTAAATTATAATTGGTCTTGTGTGTTTTCTATGAATATAATTTGTTTCCTAATATGCATGTGTTTGTGCTAAGTCTAATTTTATTGGTTTTAGTGTTAGCCTACATACTTAATGCCAATATGCATATGCAGGTGGTCAGCTCTAGACAGTGGCCTCTGATATCAAAGTATAGGGCATCTGTTCGAACCCAGTCTGCAAAGGTTGAAATGATAGATAATTTGTTCAAGCAAGTGTCTGAAAAGGATGACGAAGGCATCATGAGGTTAATTTATTTCTACATTGTAGTGTAATAACTACATTATGATTCTCTCTAGCAGCCGGCACTTGATCATCCAATTTTATTGTTTTGGAATATTTCTGTCTTGTTAGAGCAAATGGTTTTAGCAGTCTATTGGCAGTTGTATTAATTTTACAGACATTTGTTTTTCTTCCCTGATGATTAATGTAAAAAGAACTGTCTTAGGCTGATGGGTTTCATCGACTGCAGGGAACTTTTGGTTGATTTCTATGTAAGTTCTGGGAAGAGAAAACCGGATAATATAATCATATTCAGGTATGCTTTCGTTGAGAACACTGGTGCTATTAATTGATTTCTATTTTATTTTCTCGTTTTTGTAATTTGGTAGTCACAATTGTAAATGTTCGAAGAGTTTTATTATAAATTGTCTGATATTTCTGATATTTTTTATATTCAATATGTTATATTTTTCAGTAGTTGTTCAGGTAGGTTAAATGGGGGTACGAGCTGTATTTGGGCAGTTCAAATATTTTCTTGTATAGTAACCTTTTGTGGTTGTAAGTGAAAAATTGTGACATGATGATAGGTGCTGTTATCCTCTAGGCACTAGGATAGATTTACATAAACCTATGTGCATTTAATGTCTGATGCTTCTCTTAGTTCATTTGAACTCAATCTCGAAAAATATAATTTTATCTACTGTTTGCTATATGTGGCATTGTTAGAGCGATTTGTTATTGCTTTCATCTTCTGAAGATATGTGCATGGCAATTAAGTGGTAAATCATTATGTTGGAAATTATTAGTATAAAATATGTAGTCTAAGATTGGAGGACATAGCTTTACTTACAGTTCTCCATCTGCTGTCTTAACCTGGGTAGGCCATGGTTTGTGTTTGTTGCAGGATGACAATGCTGTAGTTTCCTTTCTCTATTTTGTAGGTTGTTCTTAAGGTGCTTTGCCCCAATTATGCATTAAAACTAAAGCTTCTACGTTCTAGATTTGTTGTTCTCCGTTTCTGCAGTTGTAGCTTTAAAATTCTTGCCTCCCAGTTGCCATCTATTAGCGTAGCTTTCTGTTATAGGCCTTATTGTATTAGACTCTAGCTTATATAAATGTGTTAGTGTGCTTCTGAGTTAGTTAGTGTGTGACAGCTGTAAGCTAAGTGTGTGACAGCTGTAAGCTTCAATGCTGATTCATTAGTTTGTATATATATATCATCTTGTATCTGAAACGTTAGTGTAACTTTCATTCTTTACAAATCAAATGAGTTCTTTCCAGATTACTCTCTTCTCTCTCTCTCTCTCAGATCTCTCCTATTTTCTTCATGCAACTTTCAGATTTCTAATACCATCAAAGTTTACAACTGTGGCATACCAATTATGATATTTTCTGTATTGTCAGTTTTAATACTTGTAAACTACATTCAATGCTATAAATTGCCTACTCATTTAAACTAATACTTAGATGTTATTGATCATTCTTAATTTCTTCGAAATGCATCTGGTTTTAGTTGAAGCATGTTTTTTTTTTTGCTTTATAATGTGATTCTTTTCTGATGAAACTGAACATGTTTTTTTTTTCTCAATGGAATATAGGGATGGTGTTAGTGAGTCGCAGTTCAATCAAGTATTGAATATCGAACTTGATCAAATCGTTGAGGTTCTTAAGCTGATCACCTATGCTAATTAAATATGAAATATTTTAATCAACTATGCTAATCTCGACTTCGAATTTCTTAGGCATGTAAATTTCTTGATGAAAAGTGGACACCGAAATTTGTGGTAATTGTTGCTCAGAAGAACCACCACACAAGATTCTTCCAGTCTGGCTCTCCTGACAATGTCCCACCTGGCAAGTGTTGTTCTGAGAGTTTCCAGAATGGTTCTGGTTTTTAATTGGACATGATCTATTCACTTTTAATTAACCCATTGATTTACAGGAACTTTGATCGACAATAGAATTTGTCATCCCAGAAATTATGATTTCTACCTATGTGCACATGCTGGAATGATAGTGAGTATCCAGTATTCACTGTTTTTTATTTTGTAATTTAATTTTGTTGACATGGTTCTATATATTATTTTTCTAGTTTTGAAGTTGCATGATAGTAGCTTGTGTCGGTGATTATTGTAGGCTTCTTTCCTTTCTTTATCTGTCTGAAATGTGGTGTCTTTCCATTTAGACGTCTGGACTTTTTCATTTTATATGCTGATAGTCTGATAGATTAAGCAGATTTACTTCAATGTTTACTTGTCTCAAATTGAAAAGATGTAGTATGTAATAATGGGTGAAGGTTCTCATTTCGACTTGAAAGTAGGGAAATTTAGTGACAGAGAAGTCTTGTTTTGGAAGTATCTTCAATCACATGGTAGTAATTTTGTGATCACCTTGCTTTATTCTTCCAAGGTTGTCAAGACCAAGATCTTACCCAGAATTGAAATGCGGTGAAGACACATAAAATGTGTGATTTCAACAGAGAATGCAAAGTCAAACCTAATATATACAAAATTATATCCAATCAAATATATATTCCTAAAGTAAATAAATTTGCAAATTAACCTTAAAATCACATATAAGTCACATCTTGTAACTGAAAACTAAAATGGTGACATTGAACTAGAAGTTGTTAATGGCACATTCCAGCAAAAATGACTTCGTTAATACTTTTGATTCAATATAGTGTGAAATACATGGAAGGATCTCTCTTCTTTAATTCCTCTTTCCATTTATGTTTTCAACCTGTTACCTGCAAATAAAATAATGTAGGTAGACCTATTTAAATGTGTAGGAAAGGTTTGCGTCACAATTTTTGTTTAACATTTTCTTCGTTTCCTTTTGAAATATCCTGCTCAGGGTACCAGTAGGCCTACACACTACCATGTGCTGTTAGATGAGGTTGGTTTCTCATGTGATGAACTACAAGAGCTTGTCCATAATCTATCATACGTGTAAGTGAGCTTGTCCAGACTATTCGACTTCATTAGACTTTTTTTACGGCTTCGGTTAAGATCAATCTAAGTTTATTATCTGTGATATGACAGGTATCAGAGAAGCACCACTGCCATTTCTGTTGGTAAATTTTTACAGTTTATTTATTTGGATAGATGTGTATTTCTATGTTCTTAATTCATCTTTGAAACTTAACTATAAGTTATCTTCCTGTCTGCAGTTGCTCCAATATGCTATGCACATTTGGCTGCAACTCAGTTGGGGCAGTTCATGAAATTTGAGGACAAATCTGAGACATCTTCAAGCCATGGTGGACTAAGTGCTGCTGGAGCTGTCCCTGTACCCCAACTGCCCAAACTGCAGGAAAAAGTCTGCAACTCAATGTTCTTTTGTTGAGGCCTATAAGCTGCCTCTCTAGAGACAAGTAATGACAGAATGCTGTACATAAAACTATGTTCCAATCTAGCTTCCAGTGGACAGTTAAAATTATGTGGGATACTTGTTATCAAGTGGAGGGCTTTTAGCACAAGCCTTCTCGTTTTGGTGGACAGTTAAAATTATGTGGGATACTTGTGTGCAGATGGAGGGCTTTTAGCACAAGCCTTGTCGTGTTTGACTGTTTGTATCCCATTTCATTTTGTGCTTGGTGACGTATTTATGGTGTTTTCAAAATATGTGATGTTATGGATATTTTGTAATGTTTGGAGTTTTTAAGTTGTGATGTGTACACCTCGTTGCGATTGGACCCTCCATAATATAATACCCACGACTTGCCAAGGAAGATTTAGTGAAACAACTGCGTCTGAAACTTACCCTCAATTTTGTTCTTAAAAAGTCGAGCTTATACTGAAGGGACAATTTCTTAACTGTGTATGATATGTTGCTGAGTTGTACTAAATCAGTAAAGGTGTATCTTTTAGATGTGTAGATGTACAAAAGGTCTTGCCTTTGTGGGTTCTTTAAGACTGTTGCTCTCAGAATGTCTGGGCTTTTTTAATTATTTTTGAGTGATGGGAGAATGTCTTAGTACATAGGTTCTGTTTTCTGACCATGGCTTCCAATGACAAAGGAAGCTTTTATTTTTAGGAGACGGAAAGACCTAATTTTTCGAACAAGAAAATCCTAGCTGTCATTTGGGCTCTCATATATTAAAGCCCAATAAGGGCTTTTAGTAAAAGATTATTTCTAACAATATATCGTTTGCTTTATTTACAAACTTGAATTCAAAGTCTAAGATCATATTACTCAATAATCAATGTTCATGAATTTGTAACTAGGATAGCTCCCATAATTGATTTTAGTAAGGTTGGGATATACTATCTACTATTAATAAAGGTCTTTATAATAATATATATATATATATATATATATATATATATATATATATTGGAAATTATTCCCCTCGAGGCGGAAAGGATTAATAAAGGATTGAATCACTGTAAGGGGTCGAATCACTATTAGCATGATTAAAAGATCTAGCTATCTAACAACTCTGCCGAGCTTTGTTGGTTATAATAGTTTTTTTTTTTTGTATCCAATTTAGTTCTACTCAATTAAAAACTCAGTTGAGTTTTGGAACACCCTATCGGCTGCTAGTGTATTATCATACAAATGATAATATGCGCATCATGTTTAATTAACTAAAATTAACTAAATGCGGAAGCTCTATGTTAAATTATCCATTTATCTATTATCTTTTCAAGTGAATAAACTTTTTCCTTATTACTCTATGTATTGCAATGTGTGAAATAATGTAATGTCCATCATTACAACTCTTGAATAATATCAATAAACAACATACTAATCATGTTCCTACATCAAATAGACATGACCATATCCATACTCATATCAGAAGTACATACATGTCCTCAAATCAACAATTAAACTAGATTATTTAAATGTGGCATAGACAACCCCTATATTTACATCAAATAAAACATACATAGTTTGGCATATAATTACCATATCCAAGTAAATACAGGCATATAAAATTAAATTCATGCATGTCATGCTAAAATATTTACGTCGGCTTCTTGCCTCGAGAAGCATCCAACTCATGGATATCAACACCTAAAAAATGTTCACTTAGACGGGGTGAGATGACAGTCTCAGTAAATTGGGGTTTTCGAAGGATTTCTCCGCCCCAAATTCACTTATAGGTATAATAAGTAAAACAAAATAATAAAATGCATATTGCTGGATACATAGCATGTAATATGTGCAATATCAATACCTATTGGCAAGATATAAGTATGCATTATGCACGTCTACAATATACTAAAAATATATGAGGATTCCTCCCATACCCCCAGGGTCTCCGCCTGCACATGTAGGACACACTATCATATCCGCATATATATCAACACATTATGCCACAAATCATTTTCAAATGTATCAGATATATATATATATATATATATATATATATATATATATATATATATATATATATATATCAGTGCATAAATCCTTTACCAAAAACATACCATGCACATAAACCAACCTCCTAGGGAGTTTGATGGAACAAACAATGGATTAACCCTGAGAAACAAAAGCTTACCTGTCGCCGCTAAGTCCTCCAACAACAACTCGATGTCCAACAGGTCACCAACACGGAGTCCAACAATGTCGCAATCTGTTTCCACTGTGTGCATACAATCAATACATATTCTTGTCTATAGCTTGTAGAGAGACTCTATTTCATTTCCATTTTCCATGCCTAAGGCTTTTTCCAAAGTCATAAGCATTTATCTCATAGGTTCTGACTTAGATTCATTTTATAGAGGTCCTTACTGTCCAATTAAGGGTCCTATACCATTACCAAGGGTTCTGCCCGAACAATACAGCAGAAAACTCAAAAATAGGGAAATATTCAGATATTTATCGAAGACTATCCGGATATCAATATTTGGATATTGCTTGAGTCCATATTCGGATATCATATCCGGATATTTCGCGACTAAATTGCGGAATTGCATTTCACGCGAAGATATCCTTCAAGGCTCCATTTTTACCAATAACAGAGGTCCAAGCTCTCGTTTTTATGTGGGTTCTTACTAGTAGTCACCTAGGTTACTTAGTTTCCTCATTCTACATGTCCAGGACTCAATCTTTTTAGAGAAATTCAAAGATGAAAGGTAGAGGCATATACCTAAAGCTCAAAATAGAGGAAATGAAGTGTCTTCAAGGTCTCTAGTCTACTATTCACTTTTGCCAAGCAAGGAGCACAAAAATGGCTTTGTCTAAGTTGGTTCTTCAACCAAAAATGGCCTCCTAACGATGGAAATAATGGTTTAACTGAATGTGAATCACTCCCCACACCCAAAGGCAGTGTAACACCCTATGTCGACTCGCTTTGTTAACATCAGAATGATATTAAGCACAACTAATTAATCAACTAAATGCGAAAGTTAATCATCTTAATTCATAATTAATCTCATGTAAAAACATGAATACACTTTTTCCATTCTATATCAACTTATAATAATTACTTACATGTCAAGTTAATTGCACTCTATATTACTCGTTCTTCCAATTATCTTATTTTCAATTTACATACATGACTATTTATATATTTGATGAACTTTATCTTACGAGAAGACGTCCTTAAGCTTAATGCTTCCTTTTAAAACATACAAGTCTTGATATCTATATTATCAAATTATATTCACACTTGTCATATTTGGCCATACTTAGCACTCCATTACTTATTTTATACATTTCACACAACCATTCCTATTTCTTTCATTACCAAGTCGTTACGTTAAACATGTGAATTCTAGGTACTTCGCTTATGCATATTCATACATTTCTTAGTACTCACATCATTACATCTCAAAATATTTATACAAGTCATACATACCTAATTGATATTTCCTAGCAATTCATTGCATAGATTATCATATACATACCATTATTACAATGATCATCCCTTAATAAAACATGTCATAACATCATATGACCAACTACAATAACTCAATAATGTAATCTTATTCAAGAAGGCATAAACAACCCCTATGCTCACATCAAATATAAACATATACAATATGTATCTAACTGGCATTCATATCTCATACAGATACATATAAATATGAAATGATAGCAATGCATGTATCATGTCATGCTAAAATTACTACACCAGCCTCACGCCACGAGATGCATCAACATCAATAATCTCAGTGCCTGAAAAATGTTCCCCAAACAGGGTGAGACGACAATCTCAGTAAATTGGGGTTCTCAAAGGATCACTCCGCCCCAAGTTCACTTACAGGTATAATACAAGTATGGACAATATAAAGATGCAACACACACACACACACACACACACACACACACACACACACACACACACACACACACACACACACACACACACACACACACACACACACACATATCTCATGTAGGTGCACAAATCACAAATCTACTGGCCAGAGAACAAAATAGGTATTACACATGTCTGTAACCTACCGACAAAGTATAAGGATCCACCATATACCCACACTACTGAAGTTCTACCCCTTGTATGGAATCAACATACTCAGGAACTCCATCTAGGTATTGCTGCACACTGCCCCACATACATACATATGAATACAATGCACAATATCTCATGTTATCATGTATTACAAAATACATCAGATAAATATCCGTGTATAATAATTTTTAGAAAAATATACCATGCATAAAAATCAACCTCCCACAGAATTTGGTGGAACAAATAAGGGATTAACCCTGAGAACACGAAGATTGCCTTTATCCGCTATATATTCCAATGTACTCTCAGTATCCAAAGGACCACAATCATAGGCCCTCACAAAATCACAACCTATTTCAAAGATGTAGTGACAATTAGCAAATATACTAGTTTACAATATTCATTTCAATATTATCTTTTACGCAGTTACTCTTTACACAGGGACACCAACTCAAGGTGGGAGGAATTAGATCGACTCCCTAGGGTCCTATACTTTTTAGAACCTTACCCACTAGCATAATAGAGTTTACAAGTCGTTTCCCTGAAATTCATTCCAAAGAAACTACTCTAATTGTGAATACGACAACAAGTCTGGTTTACCATTTTTAAAATTGCAATTGAAACTCTTTACCAAAAATTCTAAGATTTTATTATGTTAAACTAGGCATCTTAAGCTTTCCAACGACATATTATATGTTTCATTTGGAGTTGGATAACTCCGATTATATTTTTCACAAAGTGGCTGCTGCAAACTAAATTTTTAGCAATCAAGTCACGACTTCAAACTTAAATTGAGATCAATAAACTTGTCCAATGGATCTTAAATTTTACAAGGTTATAACCCTATGTGTTAGCTTCACACAGGTCCATTTGGAGCTCTGTAGCTCGAGATATCTTAATTTTACTGAACTCGGTTTGCTATAATCGATTAACCATTTCATCGGGATTTAATCGATTAAACCATGAGGTTAATCGATTAAATCATCAACAAAATGCAAAAAATCAGATTTTTAAGGTGTAATTGACCTCCAATTATCTCCCAAATTTGTTTAGTCAATTAATCAGCATATCAACACGTTTTAAACACCTAAGCAAATCCAAGACTCAAACTTGAACATAAATCATGCCATCCATAATGAAAAACAAAGAAAGGGTTAAGCTTTCTCACCTTTGAAGCTTCACACAAGAAGAACAAGATGATACAAGCTTCCAACCAAGGAAAGACTCCACTTTTACTCCATATACCAAAAACAAAAAATCACCAAAGATGAGGCCTTTCTCCC